TAACACTCACAGATGCGCCCAGCTACCAAACTGGGGCAGAAAATTTTCTTTTATTTTGTCTATTTTTGTTGCAATTAGGCGTCCACCTGGAGAACAAGGAACAACAATTGAAGTATCAGCAATCAGGCGTCCACCTGGAGAACAAGGAAAAGCAGTTGAAGATTCAGTAATCAGGCGTCCACCTGTAGAACAAGGAACAACAATTCAAGTTTCAGCAATCAGGCACCCGCCTGGAAAGCAAGGGAGTACAATTCATGTTTCAGCTTTCAAGTTCTTACTAATGTTTGTTAACATGATTTAGTTTACACTCATATATATACCCAGCTACCCAAACTGGGGCAGAAATTTTTCTTTGCTTTTGTCTATTTTGTTGAAATCAGGAGCCCACCTGGAGAACAAGGGAATACAATTCAAGTTTCAGCAATCAGGAGCCCACCTGGAGAACAAGGGAATACATTTCGAGTCTCAACAATCAGGAGCCCACCTGGAGAACAAGGGAATACAATTCAATTTTCAAGTAATCAGGAGCCCGCCTGGAGAACAGAGGAAAGAAAACAATAGACAAAGGAAGACATTTAAAGGGTTCAGCAATCAGGTGCCCGCCTGGAGAAGAAGGGAAAGCATTTCAAAGAATACCATTCAAGTCAGCCACAAAGGAACTTCTGAGGAAAATACAAGTCAACGAGGCAACATCAGTCACAAGATCAAGTTTGGAAATAAATCTTTGTAAAGCATAGATTATAGCTTAGTCTAGCTTCTTCATTTTTGTCATGGTGTAATAAGGAGGTCAGTAGGCAGTATCAGCAGCAGCAACAGCAAGTAACAGTAAAACCGCAGCTTCATGGTAGTCCCAGCTACCAAAACTTCCCGAACTACATTGACTTGATTCCTTTATAGCTAAGGATATGTAGGAAACCTTTGAACCAGAGGTTCGGTCAAACCTTTCAAAAAATGCTTCCCACGGAGTGTTCGAACAGGCAAAAATCGCTCGTATCCGCTCACTTTATCTGTGCACAAAAACTTTTCGTGTTTCCGGACAAAGAGGGGCAGCTGTGAGCACGTAATTTTTGCCTCATACGAATTACTCCAAAATAATTTCCAAAATTAGGTCTTGTATTTAATTATGTGTTATTTTAGGAATTATTGTGTGATTTTCCTGATTGTTTGCATATATTTGTGTGCATGTTTAATTTTATTAATGCATTAAAAATACAAAAATATAGCATTTGCATTTAAGATTTGATTTTTACATTTTTGGAATTAATTAATAATTAGGTGTTTTACAAAAATAAAAATTCAAAAAATAATAACATATTTTTGTAATTTTAGTCAAATTGTGTGATTTTCTTTTAATTTGGCATTTAATTATTTGTGATAGTTATTAGTTAGAGCTAATTAGTATTTTTAAGTTAATTTGGTATTTTATAATTTAATTAGAATTTTAGTTTTAAATTTTTGAAAGAAAAAGAAGAAAAGAAAAGAAAAAAAAAGAGTTAATAAAATAGAGGAGATCAAATCTGGGCCAAAAGATCCCCAAGCCCAAACAATTACCCAGCCACACCTGATCCCCAAGCCAACCCANCCCAAGCCAGCCCAACCCATTCCCTACCCGGTCCACCCCTACCAGAACCAAACGACGTCGTTTGGACACATTTTGATCAGGGCCGTCAATTTCATTTGATCGGACGGTCCCAAACCTTCCCCACAACCCGACTCATTCTCATACCCGGACCACTCAGTTACTACACAAAACGACCCCGTTTCATCAGAACGTTAATCGGAGCCGTTAGATNTTAACACCATCGATTCTCCTTCATCTCCCCATCCCAAATCCCCAAACCGTTTCCTTCGAATCACGGCCAAACTCGTCAAATCTTCGATCGAAGTTTGAACCCCAAACCCTAGGTTACCCCAATCACTCCCAAATTAACACCACACAACCCCCATAACTCCCTCATACCAAATTTATCAATGGTTTCCTTCGAATCTGACCAGAACTCGTCGAATTTTAAATCTAAGTTCGAACCTAAAAGTTCAAAATCAGTTTTCGTTGAGCTTGAGGACATGCATCGATCCAAGCCTCTAGTTTTTGTGATTAGAAGGTTGACTCACTACAAAACCGATGATGTTCATTTGTTCTTGATAAAGAACAAATGATTAGCATCAGTTTGGGGTGAGTCACAGTATCAAAGCCAAACCCAAGTTCGAGCCTGTCCGGTGAGTTCTCTCTTAGTCTTTGTTTATTTACATTAGTTTTATTCTGATATTCGTCTTCCTCATCTCTTTTTCTTTTCCTGGTCAATAAAAATTCGATCAGTACTCTGGTATAAACTATTTCTGTTCACTGTTTATTTATTTAGATTGGTTTTGTGGATGTATTTCGTATAATTAGGATATCATAAAACTTTGAAATGGTATCTCGTTTAATCACTTAGGCAGAATAACTGGGATTAGTTCAATAATTTGGTTGAATGTGTATAATAATCAACTGATTAGTATAAGTTTATGCAAGTGGTCACTAATTGAAAAGCTCTTAATAGTGGTAGGGTAGTATTTGCATTGTCGAATTAACTAAAAGCACTAATTGAGTGGATAATTGAGTGGACAATTAAGTGGATGATTAAAGAAATGAAAAGTTGAATTGGTAGTGGAAAATGCACTAATTGAATGCCCATCTAAGGGAGCTGAAAATCAGAGACAAAGGGGGAATTCGAAGAGATATACAAAAACATTCTAAGAGGGATAGAGCTTAAGAAATAGAGGAGAGAACATTCTGAAAATACTGAAAAATACAGAGTGGAAAGAAAGGAAGAATTTCTAAAAATATTGAGAAGACAAAGATTTTAAGATTGAAACATACAAAGATAGATATAGAGAGAAATTATGAAAAATACCAGGCAGCTGTAGAAATTACTGTTTCATTAAGTTACCTTGGCGATTTCTTAGATTTCGAATTCCTGAAATGAATCCTAGTTTACTGTTTCATTGATCTCTCTTGTTTCGATTTTCAAATTTTCAATATGTCAAATCTATTTTGGTTCATTTGAGTGTTTGAAGTGGATTGGATTTAGTTTTGAGTGGGTGTGAAGTTTGCTGAATAAGTCAGTACTCTACTGGTTTCTGGATTGATCTCAATACTTGGTTATTTGAATCTGAGACTTACTTGCTGTGACAATAGGTGATATTATGCTCGCTCGACTCGATTGCCCACTTGGACAACCTTTTCGATAGTTCGGGTTTATGTAAAATGCTTCTGAGGGGGAAGGTCGTGACGACAGAGATAGGGTGACATTGAAAATATGATCTAAGCTTTCATGAAGTTATGACTAAGGCCAAAGCTAATTTTTCGAGGTGCTGCTACCTCGTCTCGGCGTCGATGAGTGTTTTACTAATGTAATAGATGGGAGATTGCGTACCTTTATTTTTTCGAATTAAGACAGCACTTACGGCTACCTCGGATATGGCCAGATAGACGAAGAGACACTCCTCCGGCTCGGGTTTTGAAAGTAGAGGTGGAGATGATAGGTATTCCTTTAGTTATCGTAGGACCTGGATGCATTCGGAAGTCCATTCAAGGTCGTTATCTTTCCTGAGTACGCCGAAGAATTTATGGCACTTATCCGACCACTGCGAGATGAACCTCGATAGATCGGCGATGCGACCGGTCAAACTTTGGACTTGTTTCTTGGTGGTCAAGATTTCTGGTATCCCCTCGATGGCTTTGATCTAGTCGGGGTTGACCTCGATCCCTCATTGTGATACTAAAAACCCCAAGAACTTTCCCGAGACTACACTAAATGCGCAGTTTTTTGGGTTCAGCTTCATTCTGTGCCATTAGAGTATATCGAAAGTTTCTTTTAGATGATCGATGTGATCTTCTCCCCTTTTGGACTTGACCAGCATGTCGTCTATATATACCTCCATTGTTTTGCCGAGATGGTCCTTGAACATCTTTGTCACCAACCTTTGATAAGTAACTCCTGCGTTCTTTAGTCCAAAAGGCATGACCCTGTAGCAATACGTTCCTTGGTGGGTGATGACATGGTTTTTTCCTGATCTTCTTATTCCATAAGGATTTGATTATAATCTCAGTATGCATCCAAAAAACTTAGTAGATTGTGCCCGACCATTGCGTCGATGAGTTGGACAATATATGGTAACAGGACCGAATTATTCGGGCATGCCTTGTTCAAATATGTAAAATCCACACACATCTGCAACTTTACATTCTTCTTTTTGACCATCACTACGTTAGCGACCCATTTAGGATACTTCGATTCCCCAATGGAGCCATTTTCCATCAGGTTTTCTACCTCCTCGCTCACTACTGGGGGTGGAGCAGGTCGATATTTAATTTGTGTGTGGCGATTTCTTTTGGGATGCCCGGCATATCTGCATGACTAAAAGCAAACAAATCTGCATTAGTAGTTAAGAATTGACTGAATTTACCTGGTTCCCGAAGCTTGCACCCTATATAGGCCTTTTTTCTGTGGTCGTTAAGATCCAACTTAATGAGGTTGAGGTCTTCTATTGTCGAACTAGCGGCTTCGGTCGTCTCTGGTTCCTTGATGACGTTCTATGCTTCCTCTTGCTCCGACCTCGACTTTGTTGATTGTTATGCCTCCTTTTCTTCTTTCTTTGTTGGGTGGTCATGGCGTCTAAGGCAATGCGGTAGCATTCTCGTGATGTGTGTTGTTCTCCTTGTACATTGAAAATCCCCCATGGAGTTGGGAAGTTAATTACTTGGTATAAGCTGGAGGGGACGACTTTCATGGGATGTATCCATGGTCGTCCCACTATGGTGTTGTATGTGGTGACCTGGTCCATGAAGTGAAACGTTGTCTGCAGAGTTACGCTACCGGCCAGAATGAGGAGTGTAATTTCCGTGGATGTCTATTCAACTGCATTGTTAAAACCACTTAGCATGATGTAGTGTGGAACTATCTTATCTTCGAGTCTCATTTGGGCAAGCATTCGGGGAAGGATGATGCACACGCCGCTCCCGTCATTTATAATAATGCGTTTAACATCGGTATCCAAAATACTTAAAGTAATAACAAGGGCGTCATTATGAGGAAGGGTCAAACCATCAGCATCCGACTTGTCGAAAATGATACTCTCTTTGAGTTCGTCATACCACTCACGGGTGATAGATCGCCTGAGTTTGTGGGTAGTTGTGAACTTCATGTTGTTGATGGAAGCGTCATCGCTGCTACCGATAATCATGTTGATAGTTCGAGCTGGTGAAGGTGGTTTTGGCGGTCCTTGGTGGTATTGTCCTCTAGCAAAGTTGGGTCTTCTCCTATCGCTCATTAACTCTTTAATGTGACCTTGTCGCAGCATTTTTATGACTTCTTGCCTCAGGGCGATGCAATCCTCAGTTTTGTGTCCTCGTTCCTGGTGAAACACACAGAGGGCGTCATACTTTCTGGTATTCTAGTCCGATCTCATCTTCGACGACAACTTCACTTTCTGTCCGAGGTTTTTCAGAGCGTAAACTATCTCTGTAGGTGACACACAAAAATTGTGAGCAGATAATAAGGGAGGCATACCTTGGTTATTCCGATGAATTCCCGTCCTTGGTCTGGATAGACCTTCTTCGTAGAAGGGGGAGGGAGCATGTCCGCCCTGGTATATGGTTGATGACGTTCCCTGTTAGGTCGTGGAATTGGATTATCTCTTTTGGCATTATCTCTTCGATTTTTTCTTGATTCAGTTTGTACCGAGGTGAGTCAGTTAGTTGGTCTGTTGAGGTCATTTTCATCTACACGGACCTCAGCACAATAAGCATTGTAGATTTTGTCCCAAGTGGTTGGCGGATACTTCATCAACTGACTCAACATTTTTCTAGTTGCTCTTGAACCATCTCTACTCAGCCCATTCTGAAAGGTTGTGGCTGTCATCCCTTCAAGTACGTTTGGCAGAGTCATTCTCACTCGGTTGAACCGGGTGAGGAAGTCCTTAGTTCCTCTCCCAGGGATTGCTTAATAGTGAATATGTCGTTCACTTTTGCCTCGGACTTCTTGGCTCCGGCATGGGCCGTTACGAACTTGTCAGTCATTTCCTCGAAAGTCTCTATGGAGCATGTGGTAGCTGCGAATACCACGTTAACGTCCATCCTGTAAGGGTTTCGTCAAACTTCTTCAGCAAGATGGAAGATACTTGTTCTTTGGTGAGATCATAGTCTTTTACGGTGATGACGTAATGAGTCACGTGATCTTCAAGTTCGGTTGTGTCATCATATATCTTGAGGTAGGGCGGCCTTTTAAAGATTTTTGGTATAGCATGTGGGGCCGCATCATCATTGTACGACTGTTCGAAGAACCGGCCGGCATCCCTCTTCGCCAACAGCTTAGGGTTGCCCGGTATTTTATCGACCCTTTCTTGGTGTTCTTTCATTTGATCTTAGAGCTCCTTGTTTTCATTCTCCTTTTCTTCCATCCTTTTTAGAATGGCTGCGAGGGTGCTGTTACCTGCACTATCAATGATATTGTGAGTAATACATGTCGTTGGAGGAAAGAGCTGGTTGCATTGCTCGTTCGCTTGTTGTATCGTGCAATCCTTGCATTTTCTGTAGTCGTATCCCGAGCGAGCTTGTTAAGGACGCTAGTTAGCGTATCAGTTAGCCACGCTCCGAGGAGCTATTTTATAGCTGGGGGGCTCTCTTCTTCAATAGACGTGGAGGCTCCCTTACCACGGGATTTTGTTATGCTGCAGTGAGGGGGCGGTGACCCATCTCGTCTAGGGGACGTACTAGGCGTCACGCCCTCGTCTATAGTTTCATAGCTTTCGTTGATGACATTCATGAGGTTGGTTGGGAGGTCACTTGTTATTCTTGTCCTTTCTTCTCGGTTGCCTGCCATGTTGGGGTTTGTGTACACAAAGAAAGGAGATCTTGTTTTTTTTTTACGTTAGTGACCCGTACTAGTTGTTGATCTAGAAGAAACTAAAAATTTAACTAAAAAATCCCCACATATGGCGCCAAATTGTTTGACCAAAATATGGTTCTTGGTTCAGATAATTAAATTTTTGTAATTATGGGTTAAACTTAGTTAACAATAATATATCTAGATGCAGCTTTCAAGGGTGCAATAAACATTAGATGGATTCAGTCAAATAGTGATAACAACATGCGATAAATGTTCTACAATCATAAACAATAATGTAGCATTTAATAGCAACGAATAACAATAAATGACATTTAAGTAAATAGGAGGAATGATTCACCCAATAAAGGATGAAATAAATGGATGTTCCTCCTTGCAATGATGAATGACAGACAAATCCTTGAATATTTGAGTTATTTTCAGATCTGATGGAAAAGTATGGAATAGTACATATAAGAATATTGGTGAGAAGTTTGTGTTTGTATCTTAGTAAGAGAGAGAATCTTTTAGTCAAAGTGTGTTCTTACAAATGAATCTTACATGTCCTTATCATTGTCTCTTTTTTCTATCTTTTTTCTATACTAGTCTTAGGGTACGCGCGTTGCGCGTGTACCCCATACTTTTTTTTAAAATCACATAAAATAATATTATTAAAATATATTCTAATTATAAAATATATATATAAGAAGAAAATTAAAAATAAAGAATCAAGAAAGTAGGTATCGGGAGTTTCTTGTCATTGAGTCCTAAAAATTATTTTTTTGATATTACCGATATAACTATATAAGAATATCCAATGTGAAATTCATTGTTAAAGAATAAAAAATGGATTAATATTTTATTTGAGTTTCTTGATTTTAAAATAATAAAGTCATGAGGAAAATTACCTATTGACAACATAACACACTTTGACATATTTTTTAATCTCTTGCCGATAACTCTCCATCGAAAATGATCACCTTACTTGGTCCATAAAAAAAAAAAGGCCTTTAAACTCAAGGAACTCAACAATTTCATACATAAAAAATAGTCTAAAGGAGCATATTGTGAAGTAATAATTATACTTTTCATTCATTGACTCTTGAAAAAAGAATTAATACACAAATAAATTCATATCTCAAATTCTAGAATGAATATTTTTTGAGAATTATACCTTGACAAACATATGCATATTTGATACTTGACCTATCAATATAAACGCCACATAGTGAAGAAGTAAGACTCTTGTCACCAAAAATTTTCCTGCTTAGCAAACGAAATTAGAAACTTGATCTTGCACTCTTTTTTATCCTTCTGTACTGTGATTACATTGTTTCATCAGCTTTTAAGATGTCAAGTTAATTCAATAGACAGTGAAATTAAAATAAAATTATCTAACAAAAAATAAAAATAATCATCTCTACCAAGTACACCAAGAAATCAGTCAGTTCAACTTTAAACTTCTGAATTTTGAAGCCAGAAGATAAAAATACAAGAGGAATAACAAAAGAGCCAATTTATCGGGACTTTTTCGCTGTAGCTTCTAGCCTCCAATTTTGATGAACAATTGACAAATTTTAGCAAGACTTCTTTGATTTTTGGTGTTTAATTTTTTATCTAATTCCAATTCATGTTTCTTGGACCTATTAGTATACATACATATGAAAGCTTCAAAAAGTATCGTTAACACCTCCTTTTTTTTTCCAACTAATATGAAGCCATCGAAATATCCTCTCTTACAACCAAACCGGTACATAAAATAAACACTTGAAATCTTGACATTGGGACCTGGACATTGGGACCTGGACATCTACACCAATTAGGAGTTTATATTCCAAAGTGCAGTGAATTGGTATCTCTATATATTAAGAATATTTTCGTCGTAATAATTATGGATTTCCTATATAAACTCCTAATAAACTTGGAAAGCTTACGACAAATGCAATATAACTTTAAATTCCTAAAGTCCTAAATTCTAGGAAAGGATGTATATCTTATTAAAATAAGGAAAGATCTAAAAATCAAAATTTTAGTTAATTTTAAAGTCCTAAATATTAGGAAAATAATTAAATTACGATTTTGCCTAATGCAAAATTTAATATTAAAGGGTAAAAAAAGCGAACGACATTTCGATAAGGGCTTCGTACTTTTAATATAGTATAGATATATGGGACATTCTCCTAAAAAACCCTAATAGTACAAGTGCAGAGAATATTCACTCTTTTAATATCCTATCCTCACAAACTAGTTGTTACAACTCTTATCAACGATATTCGACCTCGACCTTGACCCTTTTTGACATCTCGACTACGACTCTTGTCGAAGTCTCGATTACGGCTCTTGTCGACACTTCGGCCAGGGACTTTGCTGCTTCTTGGGTCATTTCGACTAACGGCGACTCGAGAACTCTTCCCTTAATATTGTCTTGGCTTAAATACTCTAGAGACAGATTTTGACCCATACACGATGGTGAGTTAAATTTTAAAAAGGCTAATTGTGCATAATAAAACTTAAAAGATTTATAAATAAATAAAAAACACTTATTTCGAATATGGATTTGTTCTTGATTGAAAGACTATTAGAATTTAAGTTTTGTGGTTCGGTTAACATGATCAAGGTCGTTGAGTTACAAAATATTATACTCTCGCTGACTTTAACGAAGATTGAAACACTTTTCATTGGGTGTTTCCTTTATTTTATTCTAACTAAAAGAAAAACAATTTTGTTTCTCAATTAATGTGTTGAATGCGCCACGCGGAAGCTAGAAGCACCATATATTATATTCCCCCAAGTGAGCTGATGCAATTTTTTTTTAAAACACAATTTGAAGAAATTTCATGTGTCACCACAAGGGCTTTTTTCCCCACCAGCTGCTGTAATTGGCGGCTCTTCGTTTTCTTTTCTTTTTTTTAGTTTGTATTCGCGATATTACAGCTTTTGTAATAAAACAATAAAAGAATAAGAATAATATTGCAAAGAAAGAGAGAGGAAATTCTTATTGAATTTTTAAGATGATTTATAATGGGGTAAGACCCCTCTATTTATAGGAGAAAAATAACTTAGCCACAAAGTAAAATTCTCTAAAAGATAAACATTTACTCTAATTATAATTCTATTCATAACACTCCCCCTTGAATGTCTACTCAATAAGTAATGTGCCTTATTAAAAACTTAAATAAAATAAAACCCAATGGAAAAAAAATTCTAGAAAAGGAAAAAGTGTACACATGTTTAATAATACGTCTTTTGGTTGCCTCGTTAAAAACTTTGTAAGGAAAATCCAGTGGGACAAAACCTTGTAAGGGAAAAAGAGTGCAACACGTATTAACTCTCCCTAATGAGAGCATCAATTCACATCCTTGAGCCTTCGCATCCCAATCTTGTGCACTAGCTTCTTGAAGGTTGATGTCGGTAGAGACTTGGTGAACAAATCAGCCATATTATCACTTGAACGAATTTGTTGCATATTGATATCACCATTCTTTTGAAGATCATGTGTGAAAAATAACTTTGGTGAAATGTGTTTTGTCATATCTCCTTTTATAAATCTCACCTTCAATTGGGCTATGCATGCTGCATTATCTTCATACAAAATCGTAGGTAGTTTGTCATATTTCAAACCATATTTGTCTTGAATAAGATGTATTATAGACCTCAACCACACACATTCTCGACTTGCTTCATGAATAGCAATTATCTCAGCATAATTAGATGAAGTAGCTACAATTGATTGCTTAGTCGTTCGCCAAGATATGGCAGTGCCTCCACTGGTAAACACATAATCTGTTTGAGATCGAGCCTTGTGTGGATCGGATAAATACCCAATATCGGCATAACCAACAAGATCGGGATTGCAATTATTGCCATAAAATAAGCCCATATCAGTAGTTCATTTGATACCGCAATATGTGTTTGATTCCATTCCAATGTCTTCTTGTAGGAGCAGAGCTATATTTTGCTAAGACATTACCTGAAAAGGTTATGTCAGGCCTTGTAGTATTAGCAAGATACATTAGTGCACCAATTGCACTAAGATATGGTACTTGAGGACCAAGTAGCTCTTC